GGGGAAAGGGAGGGGGGGTCAGCCTTGGAGAAACAGAGGAGGGGGAGCGAGTCTAATTTTAGCCTCTTTAGATGCAGCGAAAGATGCAGCTTTGTACATAGATCTATGGCAGAGAAACCGAGATGAGGTTCTTGCTGTGTTCCATCTCTGAACAGCTGGTGTGTTTGTGTTGCCTCCGTAGCTTCCCTCTGACTGCCTTTTTCTCTTCTTTTCCTAGAGCTTACAAGCCCTGCCAGGTGTGAGTTTCCCCTGGGGGTCGGGTGGATCAGGCCCCCCCTCGCTGAAGGCCTGCAAGTTGGGGACGGGCGGGCATGGCATGCCTCCTCAGCATCACTCCCCCCTCCCTTCCGTTGCTGCAGCAGCATCAGGGCCAGCCTAGGCAAAGATGCACCTCCGCATCTCTGGCGCGCTCCCTCTTCGGCTTGGCCGGCCTGCGGCTCTTTCCCCCTGCCTCTCCCAGCGGCTGCTCCGGGAGCCAGGGCAGGAATGGCTTTAGCCGTGGCCACACCGGCTGGCCTTCAGCCTAAATCTGGATCGGATCACGTCGTGATGCAAGCAGAGGCGGGCGGCGTCGATGCCCTTGCTCCAACCGGCCGATAATCCTGCACGCTCCCTCTTCGGCTTGGCCGGCCTGCGGCTCTTTCCCCCTGCCTCTCCCAGCGGCTGCTCCGGGAGCCAGGGCAGGAATGGCTTTAGCCGTGGCCACACCGGCTGGCCTTCAGCCTAAATCTGGATCGGATCACGTCGTGATGCAAGCAGAGGCGGGCGGCGTCGATGCCCTTGCTCCAACCGGCCGATAATCCTGCAGGTCGGCAGTCGTGATGCAAGCAGAGGCGGGCGTCGTCGATGCCCTTGCTCCAACTGGCCGATAATCCTGCGGGTCGGCAGCTGCTGGTCCATGTGAAAGGGAGCGCTGGGGAATGGACGCTCCGGTCCTGAGCAGCATGGGGTGGTCGCAATCCTGTACCTAAGGAGGAAGAAGAGGAGGAAAGGAGGCAATCAAATCGGTGAGCTTGATGGAGAGCAGGCCAGCCTTTTGCGCCTCCCTGTGCGTTTAATATGGAGTACACAGGGGATGCCCCATAGAGAGAGAGAGCCTTCGGGGCCATAAAAATGCAACCTTTTTCCTGGGTTAGTGACGGTGCATAGAAACAGAGATACAGGGATGTTGTAGCATAGGTGGATAATTCTGGGTACCGGTAAGGAAAGGACCTTATTCTGACATGCTAGAGTGAGCTCCCCCCCACACTCTCAGACCACAAGCCACCGGTGGACGCTGAGATAGCCAGAAGGAAGACCCATTGAAGAAGTAGCCGCTGCGTCCATCTAACACAAGAAGAGGAGATTTCCTTTTAAAGGATTAAGATGGACTAAGAGAGATGGGTAGATCCCCATTTGGTAGGTAGAAAGGTAGAGGCAGGGTTCGTTCTGTAGATTTTCAGGTGTGGAATATGTGTGTGAGTGTGTGTGTGAGAGAGAAAATCTTAATGAGCATCTTGTAGTCATCTCTCTCACCGGTGAAGACCGAACGTCCTTCCGAGACAAAACTCCAGCCTCAAACCTGGCCTTCTTTTTGTTAATTCCATAGCCGGAGAGGCTTGGGTTCATGTCCCGCCTCCCCTCATCGCTCGCTCGGGGGCCACAAGGTCACCGTCCTCTCTCTGGATTGCGCCCGTCCCTCCTCGGTCCATCGCGTCCACCCCAGAAGGCAGGAGTGGAGATGCGCGTTTTCTCTCTTGACCGGCTGAGCTGTTCCACGCAGGGCTCGGCGTCCTGAAGGAAAGAAGACACAGGTTCGCACAAAACCGGGACCCCATCAGAAGAAGCCCCGAGCATGGCAAACGGCCACCCGTCCACCCCAGCCCGTGTGTGAAAGAGGCGAGTTCCAGATGAGGAACGACCAAGGGGACAGATCCTATGCAGTTCGTCGCCGGACCTCTTCCTGACCCCACGAGGTACATTTCAGAGCGATTTTGAAACCTTAAGCCACTTTGCTTCCCGAGATACCCTTGTAAAGTTCAGTACAGGGCTGGATGGAAATTATTTTAAATTACTTATTATTATTCAGATATCCTTCATGCCTAGATTGTTTAGAGATCAT